TTTTTAAACAAAGAAACGTACAAAGCCTCGAAACGTCTCATTTCGTCGAAAAACGTTTGCTTTACAATTCTAGACGTTCTATACTTTCGTTAAAAAAAAACATATAAGTACATTAGAATGTTAAACTATCGTCAAAGTTATCTGATCGTGCTACGATACGAACAGTAACTTTTCTAAGTCTTGTATAGGTGTAAATAGACTAAATCTAATCAAGATAATAAATATCGAGAGGTCTGATTTCAAGAAAATCTATAAGTGAAAGAAAAGTATTCAAAAATGACCTATACAAATCTTGACAATTTAAACCTAATCTAGCCTATAGGTTTGGTTAGGTTTAACGTGCAGAGGGCTCTAGTTAGGACAGACATGGGCAATACAGGAGTTTCTTTTTTTTTAATTCGAACTCAACTCTTCACTTGCACCCAAAAACGTGTTAATCCAGCTCTGCTCACGAGTGAAGTTGAGTAGAAAGATGATCCTTTTTTTGAGCTGAGTTGCCCATCTCTGCTCACTTCTACTTGACGATATCTTAAGCGTCCTCATTTCTTATCTTGTTACAGAATACGAAGTATCTCAGTGTGTACTGGACCAAACTTTACACGTTGCAAAAACGTTCATCTGAGATATCAGACACCCAGATGTTTTTAGTAACTATTCGCAAATCACTCTGTCATGTTGTGGAGCTAACGTACAGAGAATTTGGCTAAGACAAACACAGACATCAGAGACTCATCAACTGAATTTTGAACTGGAAACGGTCATTATAGTCTAAGTACTTTTTATTCACTTTTAGCCCTTCAGAACCTTTTTTTTTCATGGACACGACGGCTGATTTCTAGACGATCCAAGATTCTTCGTTACATTTTCTTATAAATCCTCGACATTAGATTTTGGAGCAAAATAAAAAAACACCTGAGTGTATTGCAGTCTAGTGTCTGTAGTAAAAATTTGAGCTCAAACGCACAAAGTTTCGATGGATGTGGTGCAAAATGCACAATTCGACCGAGTCACAGTTTAAACCAGCGATGTTCGAACACAAAAGTCACTTTTTTAGCAGTTCTTGTCAAAAGGTGAACAACATTTGATAGAAATAGTGCGTGGAGTTGGAAGACTTCTTATTCTGAAGTTTGCAGAAACAAAGTGTAAACAATTCCGTAAGTTACGCGTCTTTTTTCTACGAACCTCTAAAGAACACTTGGTTCTATCACACCCTATATTTAACTCAAGAATCGACCCTTTTTTGACAGAGTATCCTTAAATCATCAGTTGAAATCGACTCTTTTCATACTTGTTACAATGATATCTACTGAGAGAAAATGTATATACACTCAAGCAATAGATTTTTAGAAGAAAAAAAGAGAAGATTCAAACGTTAGATAAAATGGTTTATAACATTCTGTTTCTCGAAAATACTGCTCTCATAACATTTCTGTTGAATGAGTATGTCGTACTCTGAACTAAACTGTTCTTTCACTACTAATAAATACACGTATGTTTGGTATATCCTTAACGTTTTTGGTACAAAACAAAAACAAATAACTGTTCACATATCAGTTGTGATGCATATCGTTTAACTACATTTATTACCTTTTCTTCTTGTTCCTGTTCATTTGTTGTGTTTGTTGCTATTTCGGATGGGTGTTGTTGCGTCTCATTTGATATAGTAGTTGTCGGTATTGTAGTGGAAATTGTTTGTGGTTGTTGTTGATTTGTTCGTTGAGTAATGAAACCGGGTATACCAGGATCTGGTACTTTTATTTGTTGTTCATTTGAAGTTGAAGAAACGGTAACAGGTGAATAATCGCGTTGTGGTGATGATGTACCGGCAGTGGTACTGTTCGAAAACGAAGAATTACGAGAACCACGTTTTGAAACTAAAAATAGACAAAAGAAAAAAAATCATGAAATAAGAGATAATAACATAAAACAAATATCAAAGATAAAATTTAAAAATTGAGAATATCTCTTAGCCTTTTTCAGGTTAATTTTCAAAATTCAGAAGCAAAAAAGACTTGTTTTGTTTGGAAAAGTTTTCTGTAGAAGACAACAGATGTTCATATCGGTACTTTGTGGATATGTCAACGTCCAAACTCGGATTCAGGCCAATCTTGGATTGACCTAAGCAAAATTAAGATCTTAGTTTGACCTAGTCCAAACTCCGATCTCACTGTTAGGATCCTGGAAAGATCCTAAGACGGAAGAAGACAGCCCGGTAGTGTAATGGCAGTACGTCCGACCGGTAATCGGAAGGTCTGGGGTTCAATTCCTCAGTCGGGCAGTGGTCGTTTTCCGGTCTGTCGTGATATAACATCTCGC